TCTCTCTCTCTCTCTCCACCAGGGGCGGCTCGTGGGTATAAAAAGTGGGCGTGCACAATTAAGCTATCTTAGGTTGAAGATAGTCAAGGGCACAGTAAATGAGATGGTGTATAATTTTAAGATCTTTGGGTTAGTGAGGGAGAACCTAGTGATTCTATTTTCATTCTTTTTACTTGTTGCTTTGACTTCTAGAACTAAATCTGTTTGTCAGCTAAACGTCAATTTCATTCATCCTGCATTAGAATTGAACACCCAAGTAATTCTTTTCACCACTCCACTACAAAACCGTTCAAAAGAACAACTCATAGGACAATGACTTAAGTATGTCCCGTTCACCTCCCTCAGGTTCACGGTCACAGAGTCACTTAAAATGGAGGCAAGACAATGAACCAATCACAATTCACTTGAGCACTTCGCTGGATTGCTCCGGGGCTCATATAATTTTGGCATAGAATAGTGCACAGTTTATCGCGTTTATTTTTAGATTGCCTACTGTGGGCTATGTTTCGGCACCATTCGGCAAGAACACTTTTGGTGTGCCGTCTTATTAATATTAATGTACCGCCAAACTCTCTACGAGTGTCGTCATCGCTTGGGTTATCCCAAAGAGCGATTTATAGGTCAGGTGTCCACGGTTGAATATCCTGTTATGTTTAGATACAGCACATGAACTTTGGCATGGCACAGTAGATGTTTTACGGCGCTATAGACACAAAACTGACAGTTACGGCGCCAGCGAGGGCCTTGTTTTGATATAATATTTGGCTAGTGTTTGTTTCTGGCGTCTTTTATTTTATTATTGTAGGTGCTTTACGTCATAGAACATTAAAACATTTTGGGCCGCACTGCACGACCGTGCTCTATGGACGAACCGCGCCTGCTCTCCACCATTCTCTCCTTAAATCCCCTCGGCACGTTACAGTCCAGGGCTGAATCACCAGGCGCTATATCCATTGCGACACCGACCAGGACAGGCTTTGAATCTTAAATTACACAAATCTGCCGAGGCAATAAAATCCTGATTTGCAATCATCTCACAGTCTTGCAAAAATAGTACATATTATGTACTCTGGTACCTGCTTACTGCAAAGTAAGAATTAATGCCAATTTCAAGAAATTTTACTTCAATGATAACAGGCAATCACAGCGCTATCAACTAGATTCTAAAATGCCTAGTATAGTTATTGTTGTTTTTTTCCACATCCCATAGGCCTAGCATATGCCTTGTTTGGCCTTTAAAAAAATTCTCCCAGGGCCTTTTAATTTTACAATGTAATTAATTTTGGGAACACCACAGGATTCATTTTCTCTAGGGCTCATTGATGTCCCCTTCTTGCTCTCGACTGATACATCTGCGGCTCATCCCCGTCCACTTTTCCATTCATACCCCCCGCCCTCTTCCCCTTCCCCACTCACATACACATAGGCTAGGCCTAGATTGTTTTCCATTCGTTCTAGCCTAGGCCTAGGCTAGCCTAGGGGAAAGCTTTTCGTTCATAATCTCAACACCACAACTGCTGTCCTTTTCACTTTTTATAGTATTGCGTCACTAATAACACTGACGTCAAACTGTTCTTAGCAACAAAGAAAAACAATTTTGAAAGAACCATTACCTTTTCGGCACAAGGCTACGGGACGGGTGTGGAAATCTTGCCAGTTTAACTTTTGGAAGTACTTGCTAAAGATGGAACCTTGTAATAAAGATAGCGAAGGGGCTAAAACTAAAAAGAAGCCCGAAAAAACCCAGGGTGAAAGTGATGAAAAGCCCCCTTGCCCAGAACCTCTGACGCCTCTATGCGAGCCTCCTCCAAGACCTCCACCTCAACCCATGCCTGAACTTCCACCAGAGGAACCTGCAGTGTGCCCAGAGCCTTCCGAGAAGGCCTGTCCCGAGGGAAAATAACCAAGTGAGTTCTAGAATCTAGCTTCTATCTAGATCTAGATGATCAATGCCAAAATCGTGTTCAGGGCCCTAAAAAAACATAAAAACTACAAAGTAATACCCTTTATGAGACGGGAGGGTTTCTATAAATTTATCGATGTTGTTCATGTTTAAGTGCTTCCTTACTTTTATTTCTTTGACCAGATATTATCTAGATTATATATCTAATCTAAATCTAGATCTAGATATTAGATCTAGAATCTAGATTATAGATCTACCCTCCAGTGGCGGTGGGTAGTGAAAGGCTTACGGGCTTGAGCCCCTCACCCCCACCCCGTCCCCACCCCAACTCTATCCCTTAGTTAATGAAAGTTTCTTAAATAACGAAATGAGCAGTTGAAACCGTTATGATCGCACACAATGAACACACAGTTATCAGCTTGGCGGCTTGCCCGTTTATCCAATCATTGTTGTCACCGTTTACAACTATAGTAACCTAACAGCCAATCAAATATCGTTAGGGCTCAGAAAGAATAAGCCGGTTCCCACGCTCGTCTTTAATGAAACTCTTCTTGTTAATAGTTAAAAGGAAGAAGACTCTAAAAAAAACAACCACTGCACAGAGGGCTTACGCTCTCCCAGCCCTGACAAAGGGGTGAAAGTTTACGACACACTTTCCCCCAGTGACACAGATACCTATGCGCCCATTGGGCCTTTGTTAGGCGCGTTCTATTTTTTGCAACAACACGACCCAATCCACCTCATAGTCATAGACGGTGTGTGTTTGGAGTGCTGGGTGTTTGTGCCACTGAGATTTAACAGTTATTAATTACATCAAACCACTTTTGAGGCAACCTTTTCTTCAGATAAAAATTAGAGAAATTTGGAGGTAAAACGGCTTCGACCCCACCATCCAGAAGCTTAAATTTAAGTAAGAACAAAGATATGGAAGACAAAGGTGACTCTTCTCGTTTGAATGATACTCAAAATGCCGTGGCTCGCCGTGAGAAAAGCAAAATCATCACTGTTTTGTTCTTATTGCTTGCTTTTAGGTGGTAAAAAAGTGGAAGAAACCTAAGCCCCACCCAAATCTTGGTCCACCCACCGCCACTGCTACCCTCACATTGTCCTTCTCGCCCCAGAGGCTAAGTAGAATCAGAACACAGACAAGATAATGGGAACGGTTATTCCTGGTGCTCCATAGCCGTGGGGTAGGGGTAGGGGTAGGGGTAGGGGTAGGTCTCTCCTTTATTTTGTTTGTTGAGTATTGTTAGGGTAAGTGGTAGGGTTGGGGTAGGAACTAGAATAGAGGTTGGGGTTACTGATGGGGTAGGGGTGGAGCAGGGGCGGCTCGTGGGTCTAAAAAGTGGACGTGCACAATTAAGCTATCTTAGGCTGAAGATAATCAAGGGCAGAGTAAATGGGATGGTATATAATTTTAGGATCTTTGTGTTGGTGAAGGAAGACCTTGTGCTTTTATTTTCATTCTTTTTACTCGTGGTTTTGACTTCTAGAACTAGATATCTAGATCTAATCTAAATCTGTTTGTTAGATAAACGTCAATTTCATTCATCCTGCATTAGAACTGAACACTCAAGTAGTAGATCTAGATCTAGTACCTTTCACCACTCCACTACAAAACCGTTCAAAAGCAATTAAGTATATTACGTTCACCTCCCTCAGGTTCACGGTCACAGAGGCACTTAAAATAGCGATAAGACAATGAACCAATCACAATTCACTTGAGCACTCCGCTGGATTGCTCCGGGGCCCACCTAATTTTGGCATGGAATAGTGCACAGAGTCTATGGCGTTTATTTTTCGATTGCCTACTGTGGGCTATGTTTCGGCGCTATTCGGCAGGAGCACATTTGAGATGTGCCGTCTTATTAATATTAATGTATCGTCAAACACTCTACAAGGGTCGTCATCGCTTGGGTTATCCCAAAGAGCGATTTATAGGTCAAGTTTCCACTGTTGACTATCCTGTTATGTTTAGATACAGCGCATGAACTTAGGTATGGCATAGTAGATGTTTTACGGCGCTATAGAATAGAAATGACAGTACGGCGCCAGCGAGGACCTTGTTTTGATATAATATTTGGCTATTGTTTGTTCCTGGCGTCTTTTATTTTATTATTGTGGGTGCTTTACGTAACAGAACTTTAAAACATTTTGGGCGGCACTGCACGACCGTGCTCTATGGACGAACCGCGCCTGGGGTGGAGGTAGGCTTGTATTTGTTGAGGGTTAGGGGTAGGGGTAGGTGTAGGTCTCTTCTGTATTGTGTTTGTTGAGGTTTAGGTTTTTAGGGTTAGGGTTGGGGTAAAGGTGGGGGTAGGGGTAGAATCTAGGGTTAGGGGTTGGGTCAGGGTACGGGTTAGGACTCTTCTTCATTGTGTTTATTAAGGTGCAGAGGGTAGGTTTTCTTTTCTCATAGGGTAAGTGGTTGGTTTTTTTTTTGGGGGGGGGGTGGGCTTGCACCCCTGATCAGGAGGCAGCACTTCTTATTTATGAGGGGGGGGGGGGGGGGTTGCCTCCATGATTAAGGTAAGTTTTAGGGTCAGGTTTAGGTTTTTTCTTTTCCGTTTCTTCGTCCATTCAAAATATGTGCGAAATGAAATGTCTAATGCTTAATTTTTCGCTTCATCCCTTACCGCGACACGGGCGTACGAAAAGAACGAAATACAAGTAGATCTAGAATCTAGATCTAGACCGGTACGGAGAAAGCCGCGCTTGTCCACGATATTCCGTTTTATATATGCAAATGAGGTAGATCTAGATCTAGATCTAGATCTAGAGTCAACTCAGAAATTTACTTTTTATAATATTTTTTTTGTTTTTGAAGCCAATCGCATCAGCTTTCCTAATTTTGCGAAGGAACCTCGTCAAAACCCTTCGATGTAAAAAGTAATTGCGTTTTGGGAATGTTAAAAGGTGATACACTCCCACTGAGCTCAAGTAGGTTTATAAGAACTTCTTTTTACTCATTGATAACACCAGCTGCTTGGCACAGTGGTTATGCTGCTGGACTACTAATCATGTTTGCTTCCCTCACTCACAGGTTTGATTCACGGTCACGGCACTGATTTTTCTAATCATGTCATAGTACTGTGTATGCTTTCAGATATTATCATGTCACTAAAAATGCCCATTCCAGGTGAAAAGACAAAGGAAGGCAAGAAGAATACAAAGTAACACAAACTCAGTTTTCTTTCTTTACTTTCTTTATTGCCCAACCAAATATTAAACCCTATCTTTTACATAGCCCACTCAAAAGTCCCTTCTTTATTGCGTAGGTTGTGGTGGTCGCTTGTTACGGAAGTCCTTACCTCTCCACTCGAACCCCAGCCCAGACTATAGATCTATATATCTAGATCTAGGTCTAGATCTAGATCTAGATATCTAGTTCTAGATCTAGATATCTAGTCTAGGCCTAGTTCTAGATCTAGATTCTAGATCTTTGTTTTTTTTTTCTTTCTGAAAATGACTCTCATTCCAGACTGGGTTGTTTTCTGACCAGTTGCGCATGTTGTGCCTGTTAAGATCTAAGTTACTTTTCAAATGGAGTAAATCTTCATCACTAAAGATGAATAAGGCATTTTTATAGATCTTGAAGCACTCCCATTTCACGTCACATCCACTACCGGAAGTTAGCTCCTTCACCACTTTAGTGCCGTCGGATATACGAATAATGTCAGTTTTTTAAAGTTAAGGCTTAGTTTTAGGATTTTTTTTTGGTGGGATAATGCATGCTTTTGTAGTCAGTAGGGGGGTTTCAGGGGGTGCGAGTACGTAATAAATAGCTCTCTGGTAATAGCTTTGTAGTAGTGCCGTAACATCTAAACTAGATCTAGATATCTAGAATCTAGAGCTAAATCTAGATCTAGATCTAACCATTTGCAACGTTTTTTAAAGCCAAAATCGTGTTCAGGGCCCTACAAAACCCATAAAAAGCTACAAAATAATACCCTTTATGAGACGAGAGGGTTTCTATAAATTTAAATAATGGGTAAATAAGAGTGCATCCACTAAAAAAATTCTATCATGTTGTTGAGTTGTGTTCAGAACTCTTTATTTGACTTGATAGCGTACAGAAGATGCGGGTACAGACTTGCTAGTTTATTAGAACCATAGCAACGGACGTTATTGAACAATATGCCCAATGGGCCTAACTTTACACATACCAGGTTTCTTTAATGGGATAAGTTAAAGAGTTACTTATAGACTTAGAATGTTTGGTACAGAAATTGCACTACAGAGATCGTGTACATCAACACATGCGCTTCTTTCTGCTTCATTGCCATGACATTTCTGAACTAGAAATCTAGAATCTAGGCCTAGATCTAGAATCTAGAATTTAGATGCACTTTGTACAGTTAATACTTCATGAAAATGGGTTGAACAGACGTTTCACTGGCGTTTGTTTTCCTGTCTAACTCTTCTGATTCGTCAACCACAGCAGACCTTGTTTTATTGATTGACCCTTTGGTCTTCTATCTCGCTCATCTCGTGGACACATTTAAGAGACGTCTGGACGAATACTGGAAAGATCTCCCAACGATTTACAACTCCACCTGCCAAAACTGATTTGTCTCGCCTGCACGCAATGCATTATTGTTATTCATTACCAGATAGTTGAACAGGCTCTACGTAGAGCCTCAACTAAATCGTCAATGTCAGTGTCAATGTCAATGGTCAGCAACTGAGACAGTTTCTTGTTAACGATTGATTAAGATACCAACAATGATGTGACTTGTTACTGTCGCTCAGGATTTTGGCGGTTGAATTGTTCAGATAGTATAGATCTACAAGAGGGACGTGATGCACGAGGCCTTTCATGCATGGGGGGCGACTCAGAAATTTACTTTTTCTTTCTTTTTTTTTTTTTGAAGCCAATCGCATCAGCTTTCCTTATTTTTCGAAGGAACCTCGTCAAAACC